TAGCCTTCTCGCTCTCACATTGGCCCAAGGCCCAACAGACAGTAATAATCAGACCTACTACTTCTCAGTATTGAGTGTTTGAGTAGCTTCGTCTAAGGAATTTTCACTGTAGGGGAAGGGCTGAATCTCTGAAATTTTCTATAGAAGTATACCTACCGCCTTTTTTGCAGATGGATGAGTCAAGGCAAAAGTGGGCCCCTCCCGCTAAACAACGGGATTGCGGACCCTGCAGTGTGCTTACTCGCAAAATTGAGGAGCCCACGCTGATTTCTGTCGGCTCCAAATCAGTACCTGTCTGTTGGTCAACTGATAGCTGAAGGCTCATGCTAGTCTTTGAGAACCCCACGTATAGGTTCCTGACGGAGAAGATCCACAATGGCCTTTTTGGGCACCACGCCGACCGCTGAGAGCCTATGCCGTCTACCGGCTTATTAGGACCTTATAGGATCCTGCGTCATTCTCCGACGACCTTACCTACACGGCTCATGTGGCCCTTATGTCAAGTGCCCGCACGCATGTATTTTTTAGCGAACCACATCGGTTTCTGATGGGCCCTGCCTACTTCTGAGCGCTCGATGCCGAGCTCTGAGGGCCAATGCCAGCTTCTGGACCCACGTCGGCCTCTGGTAGCCCACACTGGTTTTATATGATCCATACCAGACTTTAAGGGTCAATCTGAGTGGATGTCATATTTTCCCACGTAGGGCCCCCTCAGACCAGTGTAATGCCTGCGTATCAACTTGGAGACTGAGGGCTTTTCAGGTGGATTCTCCGTAATCGCCGTGGATCTCAGACACAAACTTAAGGTCGTCACTCGTCAGAGGCTATAGTGGGAGATAATCAGGGCCCCGTGTGGTAGTGCAATTAGAGGCCGGTCGGGACCCTAAGTGGCTGGCATTTGCCTTCCAGGCTCCAGGACTCCATGCAGACTTCTTTAGATAACCCAGTTGTCAGTTCCCGTCCCCAGAGACAGTCCACCAAGCTGCGCTTACGATCACCCAGAACGGGAGCCCGCTTCATCACGATTAGATTAGAAGCTACTCTCGCCGCAAAACGGTAGCCGTCCAGCCAGAAGTTGGACGCCATGTAGTGAGGACGATAGGCAGACACAACAGATTGACGCCCCGAGGACATAAACAACAGATTGGTCATTGATACGTAAAAGAGAATATCCGGAACACGGAGTTGGACCGCCTGAAAAGACGAAATGTAACGTATTGCTGAGCGAAAAATTGTATCAGGTAAACAAAATAAACACGTGATGATAGCAGCCACAGGTGTAACTCACTACTCGGTTAGGTCAATGCGCTCACATTGCATCCATGTTTCGTTTACGCATGTTTGTTTGTTTGTGCTGACTCATCGCAATAAAACTTGCTTGTCTTTTCGCTTGCCGCCCCCCCCCCCCAGTAGTGACATTTTTGCCCCGACTGGGGGGGGGCAGTCCGGTGACTGCGGGGGTTTGCCCCCCCCCCCAGTTAACATGTTAGACGAGGCCTTTATATAAAATATGATCATAAGTAGTGATTGGGTATCATACCATCAACTGAATCGTGTCAAAATAACTAAGCATTGCGCAATTATAGCCGAACTAAGCAAGTTAGCCGTCTGTTTATTTCTTTGTTTGTTTAGCTAACGATCACCAACGGCTTGCACTTAATGACAGGCGAAGTCAGACAGTGAGCACATGCTGAGCCCGTACACCAAACACTATAGCACTCACATGCACACACATGTGCTCAGGCAGCACAATTGTAAGTACATAATGTCGACAACGTCGACCCTCCGTTCAAATGTCGACATTGAAACGTTTCGCAGTCCTGGTAGAAATGTGCTACACCGGCTGGGCTGGGGGCACGTCTAAACTGCCATTTTTAACCGCCTTTGTCCTGCCGAAAGGAACTAAATAGGAAATGGACATTTATGTTCCGAACGATCGAGCGGACGTTGACATGGGCATGTGTTCTAAATGAAAGAACGAGTCGATGACAAGATGAGTGTTGATTGTTGATAAATATTCGAATAACCAAAATGTCGCGTTGTGCACGACGGACCGGTGAGGCCCTCAATCTTGAAAGCACGTATAGAGTTCATCGTACTGCAGTAAGGTGTCTGCCACGCCACCGACGACTACTCAGCCACGTCAAGAACCTGTATTGAACGTTCGAGGCTTTTCCTATCACTAGATGGCATAAGCCGCTCAGTGAACAGCTGACCTGGCGAAATAGACAGCCATCAATATGGAAATTAATAATTCGGTGTTAGCGGTATCGGGCGCCCGTGTGCTTTTTCCGTAACAAGGTAAAGTGTAACCACTAGCACAATATGTTTTGACATCAAGTTTGGTTAAAAAACGACTCCCCTTATAGAGGACCTAACCTGGATTTAATCTACATTTCGACCACCTGAGATCGAAATGAAGGAATCATATACAGAAGACATCATTGTAAGGTAACGTCCATAAGCGAAGGCATTCGATGGCAGCCTAAGGCGTTTGACCCATAGAGTCGAACGCGGACCAATAGAGGTCGGCTGACCGAGATGTACCGCAATTATTGTCTGTTGAGGTCAGCAGCGAAGCTACACATCGCTAAAAATGACACCTCGAACTAAACGCACGGTGATGTCCGTCTGGCGTATGACTTATGTCAGGTCGGGCCCAGCTGCTTAGCCCCATCTCCGGCGACCCCCCGGGCCGATGACGTGGTCAAAGTAGGGCGCAGGTAGTGGGTAGAAACTAGAAGCAGCAGCCAAGCCACAGTTTTAGCAGATGAGAGGGAGGGGGAGGTGTATGACAACCTTTATCGATGCATACAGCTGTCACACGGAAACGATTTTTTGGGTCGGGGGGTCCGGACCCCGCCGGGGATCCCCTAAACAGAAGAATGCAAGTGATTACAGGAGCGTTTGAATCAGTAATATAATCATAATCCGCCAAGCCAAGGGTGAAGTTTCGATCGGGGCCAGTGGCCGGCGCAGATGTGCCAGTATGGTGCGTGCAGGTCGAAGGGATTGCACAGATTAGGAGACTGAAAGGGAAGATACTTGCTTGTGGGTTAGCATTGTGGGCATTGACAAGCCACGGCAATAGCGTCAGGGCATCCGAGTCAGGGCGTCAGCGCGCCGAGCCGTTTATTTCGGCACTAAGGGGTCCGGCAAAAAGTTTTTCCTCTACCTATGACAACACTTTACGGTCCCTAATCATTTCCACCCCTTGAGGGGATAACGGTTCTGGCTGCACCCCTGCATTGCACGGCCCTTGGCCGCGGAATATGATGTCGCGAACGGATCTCGGGTCACGGATCACCGACCTACGGCCAGTTTCGCACAAATTGTCCACCCGAGCGGCCGCGTCGAAAAATGAAGGTCTGATGAATTGCTATCTTGCGGAACTGGACCAGACAGTCGGCATGCTCCTGGCCGAAGTAACATAGCATGCCAATGCTGATCAGTTGGAACGTCTGCCTACACAGTTCGGCGTTCGCGTTGGTCAGACAAGCCTAGGTACGGCGGCTGGCAGCATTGCCGATCGTTCCAGTTTGGGCGTTCGTCCATACGTCTGTGAAAGAAATCGCATTGGAAAAGACGGCCGAGATGAGGGGCCAGTTGGCGACAAAATTGGCCAAGCGGCTTACGCGCAAGGATTATTCCATCTTCAGATAAGACCGTGAGACACTATTGGAAGAGTCCTCTGAGGCTCATTGCCTAGCCTACAAGAGCCGCCAGAGGCTCAATACTAAGTCGACGCATGATCGATGGAAGGTCGACATGCATTTTTATTCAAGATTGTGCGCCGGCCCATCGCTCTGCCAAGGTCCAGCGGTGGTGCAAATCGAACATGCCGGACTTCTGAAGGAAGGAGCTGTTAGCCGGCTTCCATCCGAACCGCTATCCAGCAGGACGAGTCAGGACCTATAGACAAACAGAAGCCGGCGGCCAGCCTCAGCGCCCCTACCATTATAGCTCAAACGGAGTATGGTCAAAGATCAAGCCGTCTGTGCCGCAGGTGGCCGCATAACCTGGTTGCTCTATCACCGTGCTGGTTGCCAGCATGTCAAATTGTGTTCGTGCGTACCTAACTCCCTGTTCGTACTTCGTGGGGAATATACTGGACGCTAAAAGGAATCGTTGCCTCTTATATAGAAATTTTAGAGAGTACCTATATCTTTTGAGGAGACTGTGGTGTCGCGAGCTGCTCCCCCCTGCCCGGGGGCCTGGCGACGCCACTGGCGGCGCCGGCGTGCAGACGCGGGGTTCGGGAGAGTCGGCCGCCGGCCCGCGCGGAGTGCGGTTGCTGCAGGAGCGATCGGTGTTTGGCGCTCTGGGAAGTTTAACGCTATGCGGCTTTGGTTGTGAATAAAGAACTCACGTTACAACATCCTGGCGACGAGGATGAGATGCAGCTGACATGCCAGACGTCAGTTGTGACTGTGAGTCGCGCGGTGGTGATGGCCGGGATTCGGGCGCGAGCGAGTGGGCACTGAGGACGGACGGTAAGATGCGGAGCGAAACGGTTGCTAAATTGAAATGCTTAGTGCGGCTTAGTGCTTAGTTTTTTTTTCGCTGCTGCATGTGTTCGATGGTTTGCCCGTCGCCCGGCGGCGATACGCGCGCGGCGTGCCGGTTTTTTGCCCGATGGCCGATCGTGGTGGCAGCCATGTTGCGCAGCGGACGGCGGCGCTGGCGTTGGCGGGCCGCGCTGTGATTGGACCGGCCGGTGGTGACGTCAGACGGGCACGACGCGTGTGATTGGCCGAGACTCACCGCTCGGTGACGTGACTGTGGCGTCACGGTCACGTGACTCCCCCGCTCGGGAAAGCGCGGGAAACCGTTGCGGCGGCCGCGGCGGCGGCAGAGTGCGGCAGAGTGGGAAGAGAGGAGCGGAGTGCGGTGACGGCCGGGTGCGTCGAGTAGACCGGGATACGCGGTGACGGCCGGAGTTCGCGGCGGCGGTCGGGGTTTTGAGAGATCGGGGCAGTGCAGCGCAGCCCTCGATCAAGATGAACAGCACGGGACTGTCGATTCCGGCGGTGGAGCCGTTTCGGCAGGGCGACGACTTCGGCCGATGGTTGCGCGGTGTCGAGCGTTACCTGTGTGCGGTCGGGATCCAGGAGGCCGACCGGAAGTGTGCGGTGCTGTTGCACCTGGTCGGGCCGGACGTTGCCGACCTCAGCGGGACGCTGCCGGAGGAGACGAGCGAGACGGCCGACAGCTTCGAGCGGCTCACGGGGAAGCTGACGGCCTACCTGTCTCCGGTCAGGAACGCGGTGGCAGAGCGCTCTCTGTTCCACGGGATGCAGATGGAGCCTGAAGAAGACCTGGAGAGGTTCCTGGGTCGCCTGCGAGCGCAGGTCGTGCGCTGCGGCTATGCAGCCACTGAAGTGGACCGGGAACTGCGCGATCGGTGCGTGCTGGGGAGCCGAGCCGATCTGCGGGCCAAGCTGGTAAAGCTGGCCGCCTCGAAGGGCGACGGTTTGACCCTGGCCGAGGTACGGCAGACGGCACGCGCGCACCGCGATATGGAGCAGCTCGGTGCTCAGCTGGGCGGCACGCGTTTGGCCGAGGCACCGGCAGCAGACGCCGAGGGAGCCGTCAATGCCGTGAGGTCGCCCCAGTCACGGCTCGGAACCTGCTTCCGCTGCGGTGCTGCTGGTCATTGGCAGCGCGACTGTCCAGCGGCCGGAGCTGTGCCGCGTGCACGAGACAGTCACCGTGTACGCGACAGCCACCGTCCGGCTGGCCGAGCGGCCAGCGGCGGGCGCGTAGGAACGACCGGCGCACGAGGTCAGGCTGGCACGCCGGACAGGAAGAGCAGTGACGGCCCGGTCAGGCTCCGGCGATGCTTCAAGTGCGGCTCCACCGGGCACCTGAAGGCGGCATGTCCGCAGCGGCGGGTGCGGATGGTGGCTGCGGAGGAGGAACAGACGGACGGCGACGGCGACGCGTGGCTGGTGAGCTCAGTCGGCGGCGACGCGTGGCTGGTGAACACAGTCGAAGCCAGCGCCGCGGAGCCGGAAATGAAGACGGTGACGGTGAACGGCCAGCAGCTGGCCATGGTCATGGACACGGGGAGCCCGGTGTCGCTGGTGAGCGCGGAGACAGCGCGGCAGCGGGGGCTTCTGCAGCAGCTGGACCCGTGTGACCTGCGCCTGACCTCGTTCACAGGTCAGGCCATTCCCTTGAGAGGGGAGGCGCTGGTAAGCGTCACGGCGTCAGGAAGACCCGCGACCCGTCTGCGGCTGGTGGTGACCGGGTTTGGACCCCACCGCCCGCTGATGGGACGCGAGTGGCTGCAAGCGCTTGGTCTGATGACGTCACCGGCTCGGGTATGCCGCGTGCAGCCGGCGCGGACGCTCGAAGGCGTGCTGGAGAGGCACTCGGCGGTCTTCAACGAGGAGCTGGGACGCATCCCGATCAAGGTGGGACTGCGGCTGAAGTCGGACGCCAAGCCGGTGTACCGACGGGCGCGTCCGGTGCCGTTCGCCCTGCAGGAGGCGGTGGACCGCGAACTGGACCGTTGGGAGGAGCAAGGGATCGCCGAGAAGGTGCCTCCTGGACACTTCTCCGGATGGGGTACGCCGCTCGTACCCATCCCCAAGAAGGACGGCGTGCGGCTGTGCGCAGACTATCGGATCACGGTGAACCCGCAGCTGCAGCCTCTGAAGTATCCGATGCGCACACCGGAGGAGCTATTCGCCAGCATCCGAGGGAAAAAGTTCTGCGAGCTGGACTGCAGGAACGCCTATCTCCAGTGCGAGCTGGACGAAGAGAGCCGGGAAATGACCACCGTGACCACACACCGTGGTGCGATGCGGATGAACCGTCTCCCGTACGGGATCAGCACCTGTGGAGCGCAGTTCCAGGCGATCATGGACCAGGTGCTGGATGGTCTTCCAGGAGTCGTCTGTTACCTGGACGACGTGCTGATCGGCGCCGACAGCGACCGTGAGCTGATGGACAGGCTGGACCGGGTGCTGGAGCGGCTGAAGGACAACGGCGTCCGCCTCAAGAAAGAAAAGTGCCAGTTCGGAGTCCGAGAAGTGGTGTATCTCGGTTGGCGACTGTCTGAGGCGGGTCTGCGCCCGGTGCAAGAGAAGATGGCGGCCGTCACAGCAGCACCTGACCCTCGGAACGTGCAGGAGCTGCGATCTCTGATCGGGTCAGTCAGCTATTATCAGCGGCTGCTGCCCAACCTGTCTACCGTGCTAGCGCCGCTCTACGCGCTACTGAAGACGGGCGTCAAATGGGCATGGACGGCGGAGTGCGCCGCGGCAGTGCGCCGTGTGAAGGACATGCTGTCCACGGCGCCGGTCCTGATGCGGTACGACCCAGTGCTGCCGCTGCGGCTCGTCACGGACGCCAGTGCGACAGGCGTCGGAGCGGCTCTGATGCAAGTGACGCCCGAGGGGCTCGAGAGGCCGGTACAGTACGCCTCCCGAACGCTCACTCCGACGGAGAGGAAGTACGCCCAGGTGGAGAGGGAAGCCGCAGCCGTCTCGTTCGGAGTGCGGCGGTTCCACCAATTCCTGTTTGGTCGGCCGTTCACCCTGGTGGTCGACAACAGGACGCTCTCCAGGATCCTGAACCCGGACCGTGAGCTGCCCTCTCTGGCGGCGGCTCGCATGCAAAGGTATGCGCTGCAGCTCGCGGCGTACCAGTACAAGATCGAGCTGCGCCGGACGGAGGACATGAGGCTGGCGGACACGATGTCCCGTCTGTCGGTGCCGGACGAGGCGGAGAACCGGCTGTCGGCAGAAGAGGAGGCGGCGTACGGCGGAGGCGGCGTAATGTTCATCGCCGAACAGGGGCCGTGTCTGACCGCGCAGCAGATAGCAGTGGCCACGCGCCGAGACCCGGTGCTCGCCCGCGCTCTGGCGGCGGTGCGATCGGGCTGGCCGGCGGTGGTGGACCCCGACCTGGCTCCCTTCAAGAATCGCCGAGAGGAGCTGACGACCGAGGCCGACTGTCTGCTCTGGGGCGGCCGAGTCGTCATCCCGAGCAACCTGCGCGACACCGTCAAGCGGGAGCTGCATGAGGGTCACTTCGGCTGCACTCGCATGAAGCAGCTGGCGAGGCGCTTTGTGTGGTGGCCGGGACTCGATGCTGAGCTGGAGGCGCTGGCTCGCGGGTGTCAGGCGTGCGTCTCAAAGCGAGCTGAGCCGCCGCAGGCGACACGGCACCCGTGGGAGCCGACGGACGGCCCGTGGCAGCGGGTGCACGCCGACTTTGCTGGGCCGATGCTGGGCCATTACTTCTTGATAATGGTCGACAGCTACACAAAATGGATCGAAGCTGTGCCAATGAAGACGACGACGGCGGCCCGGACGGTGGCCGTGATGCGCGATATTTTCGCCCGTCTGGGACTGCCAGTGCAACTGGTGACCGACAACGGCCCGCAGTTCGCCAGTCAGGAGTTCGCGGCGTTTGTGCGGTCAAACGGCATTCGTCACACTCGTGTCGCGCCGCACCACCCCTCGTCAAACGGACTGGCGGAGAGAGCAGTCGGCACCGTCAAGAACGCGCTCCGAGTCTGCGCGGCGGCCGGTGGGGGAGTGGACCTCTCTCTGTCACGCGCGCTCCTGGCGTACAGAGTGACGCCCCACGCCGCGACTGGACGGACTCCCGCCGAGATGCTGTTCGGTCGGAACCTACGAACTCGAATGAACCTCATGGTTCCGAGCGCCGAGACAGCTCTGCAGGCGGCTCGGGACCGGCAGCGTGAGACGGCCGGCGGACGGAGCAGAGAATTCGCCGTGGGAGCTACAGTGTGGGCCCGCTCGTATGACGGTCGTCAGAAGTGGGTCCGCGGCACGGTGGTCGCCCGCCCTGGTCCCGTGTCGTATGAAGTGGATGTGGGACACTTAATCTGGTCGCGCCACGTTGACCAGCTGTTGGCGGCGGCGGCTGACCCAGGGAACAGCGCCGGCGGTGACGTCAGAGCGACGACCGGCGGTGACGCCAGAGCGACCACCGGCGGTGATACCAGAGCGACCACCGGCGGTAGTGTCCGAGCGGCGACCCGTGGTGACGTCAGAGCGGCGACCGGCGGTGACCGGGCTGGTGGCGCCGGCGGCAGCGCCGGGCGCCCTGTCGGGGACGATCGCGCCAATGGCCTCGGTGACGGCAGCCCCGCCGGCGTCGCCGGTCAGGCCTGTGACCGGGGAGCAGTCGGCCTCGGCCGTGCCGGTGATCTCGGCGGCGGCGGTGATGCCGGTGACCCCGGCGGCGACGGCCGTGCCGGTGACCGCGGCGGCGGTGGTGATGCCGGTGACCCCGGCGGCGACGGCCGTGCCGGTGACCCCGGCGGCGGCAGTAGTGCCGGTGACCTCAGCGGCGGCGGTGATGCCGTCAGCGGCGGCGGTAGTGCCGGTGACCTCGGCGGCGGCGGTGATACCGGTGCCCTCAGCGGCTACAGTCACACCGGCGGTGGCGGTGATGTCGGTGACGGCGGCGGCAGGGGCGGCGGGGACACTGAGGGCCCCTCGCAACGCCGTTCCGCTCGGCGCCGGAGGTGCCCGAGGCGACTGATCGCCGAGGTTTAAAATGTGTTTGTTTCCACGTTGAGGTTTAAAATGTGTTTGTTTCCACGTTCCGGTTTAAAATGTGTTCCGTAAGGGCGGCAGCTTAAAGTGAGTGTGTTCCGTTTTAAGGGCGGCAGGGTGTGGTGTCGCGAGCTGCTCCCCCCTGCCCGGGGGCCTGGCGACGCCACTTGCTCCCCCCTGCCCGGGGGCCTGGCGACGCCACTGGCGGCGCCGGCGCGCAGACGCGGGGTTCAGGCCCTATATACCAGGTAGGGTCGTCCGGCGATTCTACCTTTTCGTGACGTCAGCTCGTGACGTCATTTGGAGTCAAGTCTCGAAGCCCCGTTCAATCCCCATGTAAATGAGCGATTTTCGAAGCACTGTAGAATGAAGTCTGCAAAAGATACATCAAACCTAAGTATCTTATCTGAAAGAGCAGACAATTTTCTGCAAGTTATCTATTAGGTGTTTTTCGCTAAATCTTTTGCTTTTTTCACAAAAGCGTAAAATGTCCCCGCAGCCTCCCTGCCGCCGGCCGCCGCGCGGTCGCGGTAGTGTAGTGGTTAGCGTGCCTGCGCAGTATTCCAAAGGTCCCGAGTTCGAATCTATGCGGTGCGAAACTTTAATTGCAATTCCAAGCTGAATCAGGGGCGTCGCCACGGATTTTTGAGTGGGGGGGTCGGGTTTCTAGTCTTCACCCGATGGGTAGGGGTGTTTTTTTTTGCCACACTTCCCAGTTTTGTGAGTGCGTATGTATGTGTGCGCGTGTAACAAATCGGCGCGCAGCGCCGCGAAATTTGGTATAACCTATTAGGTAGGTATACCTACCTACATCACTTGCGTAAAAATTATCACTGGTCACTTAAGGTCAGGTCGCCATGTCAAGTTCAGTTATACGGTATACCTCTATCAAACTTTCTCCTCTCGCCATTCTTGTAGCTTTTCTCCCATAACTTCGAAATTTGGTACACTGTATACCTAATGTAAGGGGTTATAGGTACGTGTCAGCAATTCATGATTCTAACTGAGGATTTACATCTATGATCTGAAGGCAGGTCAAATACGTGACCTCATCATTAGAAAATAATGAGAAATTAGAAAAAGCACGAATGCCTCCTGCTTTGAAAAAGTTCGTCAGAAACGCAAAATATCTTTGGAGCCATGACAAATCAGCTCATCATTGCCAGGGACAGGGTGCAACTTATGGCGAGTGATGACTCGAAAGGTCATTAGTAATGTCCATCGATGGCCACCAGCATTTTTTTTTCTACAACTTTTGACGAAGACGCGGTAGAGCGATGACAGCACCTGGAAGGTGTTCACTGTTCAGCTCAACAACACGGATCCATTCATATGCAGCAGGATGTCCTTTTTCGATCAGGACATAACGTTGACCTGAGGTCGTTTTAACGTTAATTCTGAATGGTCAAATTTTAACTCATGTGACGCGTCTCAAAGAGATCAAGACGGTGGTGACAAGACAACATATGTACATACCATACAAATTCACGGAATCGAAAGTTATTGCAAAGCAAATGTTTCGGCAGAATCTGTCCAGTTAGCTGTTAGCCTTCTATGGGACAAACATAGACCTGAGTTGAAATCTGACGCGAAGCTAGCGAAAGAGCGTTGAAAAAGCTATCGAATATGCTTTCTGCTTCACTGTAGCCCTTCTATTGGTGGGTTCCCAGTCGCTAACGTATAACGTATACTAAAGTAACGCTGAGGTATGCTTTCGACCCCTGATCGATCTAGAGGTTTGCGGAAAAAAAGAGCATGCACTGTAAAAAATGCTAACAAACCAGTTAGTTAATTCTTCAAGCAAAATCTAGTATTAAAACACACGTTCTTGCAAAAAACGGGTCAGATAACAAATATGTTTGCAACCTAACACCACATCCATTTCATCGAAGCAGAAAAGCTAACATCATTGTAAGCCGACAAATATTATCCGTGCAAACCGTGCCGTGTTATTTGACAAACATGTTTGTTTATGCTTCCTTTGCCTTTTTTTCTGGATAACGTGTTAAATAACAAATCAAACGCATGTTGTAACTCACAATCTTAGTTTTCTTACTACCCTTTTTGTTGTAGCATTACAAAGACCTTAGTTAATTGAAAAAATCGCCATTTTGTGCGCCCCTCTGCGCCCGCCATGTTCAGTCTGTGCCAAGTCAGAGAAGGGAGAGGACGTGTGCGTTGTGAAGGAGCTGAGCTGTGGCGTATAAGTGTTGCGTGTGCAGTATATAAGGAGCTGCTGTGGTGTTAAGAATAAGAATAATAAGAAGTCAAACAGTGAAATGATATGGATTGTTGGACATGGCTTTCATCCTTACTGGTATGGTGAGTGATTATGGGAAAGATCAGTGCAGATATTGCTGGCGGTTTAGTGTGGTTTATGTACCTATGTCACTCATTTTCTTTTCAATTGAACCTCCAACCAGGCTTTATAGGGTCTCAGGTTGGAGACACTGTTCATTTGTTGACTGTCAATTGACGTCTATAAGTACATATGACGGACTGAACAATGAGCATGTTGCACACTAAAACCGCATTAAGAAATTAAATGTACCTAATTTTTGGTTGGGCACTCAACCAGTGAACGCGGTGAGGTGCTGTTTTATGCAATTCCTGTCACTGCACCCATGTTGTCAAATAAAATTTTTGTAGACACATGAGCCACCATTGCTCGGTCAGGGAATTTTTGCCCTTTTGTTGCAATTTAGTTTACCCATATCGACAGAAATGAAGCATTCTTTATGTTTTCGTGATAGGTATTTGGAGCCTGTATGGTGTCATGGCTGGTGCGGATTCCTGCAGGCTATTTATAGTTGCAGGTGTGAATCAGTGCAGATTTGTCACCACGACCGGTGCAGATTACCGACTGATTTATGACGTTGGTTGGCATGAGGTTGGTTGCGTTGCTTCATTCGTTGGTTTGAATAAACATCTTTGTGTTTAAATACTCGTCTGTATGATACTTTTTTTAAAATAAAAATTTCGACGCGTGTCGCAACACGGTGTGTGAAAACGCACAACATGTATATATGTTGCAGGCACTTTAGAAAATCAGTCATTTTGTAAAATGCCTAGGCATTTTGCAAAATGCCTGGTTTTCCAGGCTTTTTGCAAAAGGCCTAGGCATTTTACAAAATGACTGACTCTCCAGTCATTTTGCAAAATGCCTAGGCATTTTACAAAATACCTAGCCATTTTACAAAATGACTGAGCAGCGTGTTGTAGATACGAGTACCTAATTATATACGTTTTGATAGCGTGTAGGTGGACCGAGGAGTCCAGCATTATGACCAGAGGAGTCCAGCAGTGGGAAGCCCATACCTACCTCTATTTTGAGAAGTGCAGGCCCGCGACATTTCCAACCCCCACGTCAGCGACGCTGCTGGATTTAAAATGATCGATCTGGAGCGTCAACAAACGACTGGCCCTATGCCGGCCTGTATCTGTAAAACTATTAGAGGTCGCGAGGATTCGATCCCACACACTTAGGCGTTAGTGTTTCTTGAAACCAACGCTCTCGTCCTACGCCAAGCGACCTGATGATTCTCCCGATGTGGAGCTTGATATTTTTAACTGGGACCATGCAAGTAGGTACTCAAAGCTGTCAAACAAAGACACAATCAAACAAAGACTACACTCATTCGTTTACATGTAATTGTATGTACATCAACCGGTCCTGCCTATTGACTAGGGCCGGTCTCCGGCTGGTTTTGTTAGGTCTAGTTTCAGCCTTCAGGCAGAACATGAACGGCGTTGATGTACAGGGTGTCCCAAAAGTAAGGTCATGATTTAAAACTTAAATATCTCGAGAAGTAAGAGTCCGAATCACTTCCAATTTTAACACGTGCAAGGTAAAAATACCGAGCAGTAGGCATTAATTACCATAATTACCATAAAATTATTTTCTTGCATGCTTAAACCATTTTTGATCATAACTACACCGAGCAGTAGGCATAAAACTGAGAAGGTCGAAATTCAACTCTTAGAGAGGGTCCGTCATTAAAACAAAGGGTAAATACCGCCCAGTTTTCGGCCCTAAGCAGACCCTATCAGCTCGCCCTATCTCTGAACTCATGCATAGTTTCGCCTCAACCGGTAAAACGTCAGAAAAAAGGTATAATGTACGCACAGGGCATGTATAGTTAGCCACCTGTGCTTCGAGGTCCTGAGGACGACAGCGGGAATCGGGTGAAAATAAATCAAGAGAGGTGGCCGAGAGTCCTCCCAGTGGTTCTTCCGTTCGTCGCAACGCAGCTGTGCCGACACCATCAACCAGCAGTGGTTTCAGCAGGATGGAGACTATGCTTGCACCGTCCTGAAGATCATGCATTGTCTCCGAGAGTGGATGTGAGATCGCGTAATTTTCAGTCAGGGCAACGCCATTGAATGGCCTCCGCGGTCACCTGACGTTACTCCTTCATATTTTTATTCTCTGGGTACACAACGGAAAGGTTGTCTTTTAGGACAACCCAACGAGCCGGGAAGAACTAAAGGATGATCCCTCCGAGCAAACATAAGCGGTATCTCACCAGAGAATCGCTCCAGAATGGCGGAGGAAGTCAAGCGCAGTCTATTCATGCACGCGACCCGAAATGGTAGCCATGTAGAAAAGTAGCAAATGTGGTGCTACGAGCCAATGTATTGATTTATATGTATATCAGAATAAAATTTAATAAAATGCTCTTTCATATGATGTCCTATTTATTTCTATCCATCGCGTATTTTTGGCGGTGTGGCCAAAACAAATGATGACCTTACTTTTGGGACACCCTGTACTTGGGAGTTTTTACAGCGTTAACTAAACAATGCTTTATGCTACAGCCGAGTCTGCAACTCAACCTGGTCGTTATCTCAGCATTGTCGTCAATCGTCATCACAGAGCTTCAAATCGATCAGCTACAGGCTGAACACGTACCTATAGGGTATAGGAAGACGTCCAAAAACTGTTGGCCATAGTATCTGTAGTGGGATCTATACGTTCCATGCTGGTCAGGCATTTTGCAAAATGCCTAGTCATTTTGTAAAATGGCTAGCCATTTTGAAAAAAGCCTGGTTGCGTTCAGTCATTTTACAAACAGCCGTCTTTTTGTAAAATGCCTAGGCATTTTACAAAATGACTGATTTTCTAAAGTGCCTGCAACATATATACTGTAAAACATATTTGCACGTTTCGAGTCATCCTGGCAAATCTCACTAACCAAATGCGTGTAAACTTTGTATTTACACACTGCATCCCGAAGTTTATAACTTATTTGGCTAATGATATTTCCCTGGATAACATGTGCACGTTGTGCAAATCTCGGCAGAAGCTTGTGAAGCTTACTTACATTTTGCGTGTAAGCGTGTTTTCTTCTGTGTGTGTTATGTAACACCGAAGTTAGTTATCCTGCAACTAGGCGATGCCTAGTTGCATGATAACTAACTTCGGTGTTATAAAACACGCATAAAAGAAAACACGCTTACACGCAAAATGCTAGTAAGCTTCACACGCTTTTGCCTAGTGAGATTTGCCAGGATAACTAACTTTTTAGTTACTTTACACGCATAATATTAGTACATTGACAGGTAGATATTAGTTAAGTAACACGGTCACACGCAAAAGGCGTGTAGGTCAACACCACGTCGAAAACTAATGTCTTAGTTTCATAACACGTTTTTTCCTAAAAGCGTGTTATATAAAACACGTTTGGCCAGTAGATGCGTGTAAACTTTACACGCTTTAGGTTAGTGAGATTTGCCATGATAACACGGAAGTTAGTTAACATTTTTTACAGTGTGCTGCCCGTGACGAGAGAAAGCCAATGATACCCATTACAAGGTTTCGGGTCATCTCAGGACTCAGGTCATCGCCAATAAGTAGGGAAACTCGGGAATAGAACTTTGTGAATGTAAGTTGTGATGGTTTTTCGAGGCTCTGATTACGAATGTTATCTTAGTTTTGAACGAAGATGATGACTCCATGCATTTGGGGTAGATCAGGTCAGGTCAGATCGACCGGTCGATAGATCGACCGACCGACTATTATAATAGTGGATGACCACCAGGCCGATTGCTTCCTAACATGTTATATGTATAAGCAACACAACTACTTCTCAAATGTTCAGATGGGCGCCAAGTTCAAAATCAACTCCAAAAACTATCCTATACCTAAATTAAAAGCATGTTATAAAAAAGTGAACCGAGGTCATCTTTATTTGAATCATGCAGGGACATCGATTTATTTTTAAGTAGGTGATTAACTCGAGCGCACCGGAAGTTTCGTTGCAATCGGCTCCTTTTTGCGCGACTTCTTTGCAAAAGCCCGAGAGGGTTTCATATGACTCCCTTTCCCCTACATGTGCACTGGACAGCTAGTTGTGACGGTAGCCATGGGGCTGAGGCTAGTTTGTAGTTTTGTAGTTAGGTACTGATCCGACGAATCGACTGCGACCATTTTTTTAAACGATCAGACGAACGCTCGGGGCAGTTTTGGCGCGTCCAATCCTTTGAGAGATAAAAAGGTACTATTATAGAATGGTGGCTACTTAAAAGTATTGTTGTGCTGGTGTTCCCCGCCCACAGCTGATTGACCTTTAGGTACCTAATTGGCTAATTGGCTTTAGGGAGCTCTTGAAGCGATTCTGAATCTGATGTATTTGTTGGTGTTGCTGACGCCTGCTTCACTGACATAAAAGCTAAAAAAGCATACTCAGCATCGCAAAAAGTGGGGGGGTCGACACCCCCAGTTTTCAAGAGTGGGGGGGTCACGACCCCCCCGACCCCCCCCGTCGGCGACGCCCCTGAGCTGAATATACGCACATCCATGATCAATTGTTATTCGTATAGCTAAACTGTCGTCACCAAGCTATCCATATAAATTGACTTCACCCAAAATATCGGCAAGATTCTATTAAAATATAAATTCAAATATGGCGGCTTGGACTGCTGCGTGCGTTAGGCTCCGCCCATAGCTCCGCCCACATGCGTGACGTCATTCGTGTTAGTGGACACACGCGGAGATAGGGGACGACATGGGCCTGGGGAGAGTCGGCCGCCGGCCCGCGCGGAGTGCGGTTGCTGCAGGAGTGATCGGTGTTTGGCGCTCTGGGAAGTTTAACGCTATGCGGCTTTGGTTGTGAATAAAGAACTCACGTTACAACAGAGACAAAACTTATGCCGCGGCCCGCTTGCCGGACCACGTAAATGTTAAAATGTTACGCGCGAAATCGGTATGGACAATTTATTCAACGGAAACGATTGGATGCCATTGCACTTAGGTACAACTTTTAACCACAAAAGGTAGCTAATACCTTTGATGATCCATCTGTGACCAGTGTGGTCCCATTCATCTCATTTCTCTTGAAGAAGAGCTTAGATAATGCTAAGGGAAGGCCAAGGAAAAGCTAAGCAAACCAATTAATATGCATGTCTTTATTTTAGTAGCTGCTTTCTTTTTTCATCGTTAGCTTTTTGGCGCAGAATTTACAATTGACATGTTCAATAAAAGTTGACAGGCAGAGTATTCATTTCTCTCTAGAAAATTACGTGGTAACCTGCTATTTTGACAGCAATTTCCATGGCAACGATGCATATTTTCATAGATAGTATCTCATAGAACATATTGCTAGGGTATGACCGGTATGACCAGTTATATTGCCCAAGGGTACTAAGAATTGGCCAAGGAATTGGCAATAGGGGGTGCGTTTGGTTATTTTGATTTTTGTTGTTCCGGTGGCAGCATGTGAGACTATAAGAATACTTTGTTTTGTAGGGTGACCTCACGTTTGACCCGACCTGGAAAATAGCCTAAGTAATATCGTCAAATTTATGCTCTTTCGAATGCCGCCTACCTACCAGGTTTCGCCATGTGAGGGCCAAAAGCCGAAGTTGAAGTAAAAGCAAAGCAACTGGTACTTAGTAAAAGCTAGAATGAGGGCGTGTTCAAGCCAAACACCCCTCCCCCAGCGGGGCATGGAAATCCAGGAGCCCCAGCACTGCATGGGTTAATGGCCAATGGGTATTATTTAGATTATATGTATTGTAAATCAGTAAATGATGTTCCAATTATCAGTGTCACCATGGTACTCAATACTGATGTGTTTTTGCTTCCTTTCAGACTGACACCATGGAGTGTCAAGGCGCAGATCTGCTTCATGTTCTGCTCTGCTGCTCAGAGCGTGCAGCTCATCTAGCCAGAGTCTGTCGCCAGTCCACCATCTTCCAAGATGTGGTCGAGGGAAAGGCAGACATCATCAAGAATAAAACTGTCATGCAGGACTTTAAGACTGTTGCAGATGTCATGGTGCAAGCCATGGTTCAGCATTACATCAGTGCTGAGGTAATAAATTTAGAGATGTCAATCAGATACCAACTTTTTGGTATACCGATACCAAACTGATAGCAACTTGGTATTTTGTATTTCATTTTCAATCGTAACCTGTTTGGTATTTTGTTGGTATCATTAACCCTCAATAATGTATAAAAGGCTAAGAAATTGGTATAAAGTTGGTATTTCCCTCATTTTTCCAAGTTGATTTGGTTTTGGACTCGGTATTTCCCCATGGGTTTGGTTGGTATTTGGTTTGGTATCGGTATTCAGATTTACCATAATTGACATCACTATGAGGTATACTAACTAATATTCACTGGATGTTTGATTTGATTGAGCCTTGTCCACTTTTTAAAAACGCTTCATAGGGTATTAGTAAGTCTGGCGTCCCACGAAGATGCCAGATATGGCCACGGTTGAGAAATTCCCTAGATATCTAGAGATATTCTTCGGAACGCTGTGTACGCTAAAGTTACCGACCGATTTCCAAAGTAAAGGTCTCAAACGATTCCCCGATTCACGGACTACCTTCACCGAGGTTCGTGACCTCAAAGGTCATGACCTTCCAGGTCAACATCAAGGTCAAACGACGGAAACCTCGGAACGCTGTGTACGCTAAAGTTAGCGACCGATTTCCAAAGTAAAGGTCTCAAACGATTCCCCGATTCACGGACTACCTTCACTGAGGTTCGTGACCTCAAAGGTCATGACCTTCGAGGTCAACATCAAGGTCAAACGACGGAAACCGCTCTAAACGACGGAAAACTCCTCGGAACGCTGTGTACACTAAAGTTAGCGACCGATTTCCAAAGTAAAGTTCTCAAACGATTTCCCGATTCACGGACTACCTTCACTGAGATTCGTGACCTCGAAGGTCATGACCTTCGAGGTCAACATCAAGGTCAAACGACGGAAACCGCTCTGCACGCCAAAGTACTAGCGACCGATTTCCAAAGTAAAGGTCTCAAACGATTCCCAGATTCACGGACTACCTTCACTGAAGTTCGTGACCTCCAAGGTCATGACCTTCGAGGTCAACATCAAGGTCAAACGACGGAAACCTCCTCGGAACGCTGTGTACGCTAAAGTTAGCGACCGATTTCCAAAGTAAAGGTCTCAAACGATTCCCCGATTCACAGACTACCTTCACTGAGGTTCGTGACCTCCAAGGTCATGACCTTCAAGGTCAACTTCAAGGTCAAACGACGGAAACCGCTCTAAACGACGGAAAACTCCTCGGAACGCTGTATACGCTGAAGTTAGCGACCGATTTCCAAAGTAAAGGTCTCAAACGATTTCCCGATTCACGGACTACCTTCCCTGAGGTTCGTGACCTCCAAGGTCATGACCTTCCAGGTCAACATCAAGGTCAAACGACGGAAACCTCCTCGGAACGCTGTGTACGCTTAAGCTAGCGACCGATTTCCAAAGTAAAGGTCTCAAACGATTCCCCGATTCACGGACTACCTTCACTGACGTTCGTGACCTGGAAGGTCATGACCTTCGAGGTCAACATCAAGGTCAAACGACGGAAACCGCTCTGCACGCTAAAGTTACCGACCGATTTCCAAAGTAAAGTTCTCAAACGATTCCCAGATTCACGGACTACCTTCACCGAGGTTCGTGACCTCGAAGGTCATGACTTTCGAGGTCAACATCAAGGTCAAACGGCGGAAACCGCTCTGCACGCTTAAGTTAGCGACCGATTTCCAAAGTAAAGGTCGCAAACGATTCCCCGATTCACGGACTACCTACACTGAGGGTCGTGACCTCAAAGGTCATGACCTTCGAGGTCAACATCAAGGTCAAACGACGGAAACCGCTCTGCACGCCAAAGTTGAAGTTAGCGACCGATTTCCGAAGTAAAGGTCTCAAACGATTCCTAGATTCACGGACTACCTTCACTGAGGCTTGTGACCTCCAAGGTAATGACCTTCCAGGTCAACATCAAGGTCAAACGACGAAAACGTCCTGGGAACGCTGCGTACGCTTAAGTTAGCGACCGATTTGCAAAGTGAAGGTCTAAAACGTTTCTTCGATTCACGGACTACCTTCAACGAGGTTCGTGACCTCAAAGGTCATGACCTTCCAGGTCAACATCAAGGTCAAACGACGGAAACCTACTCGGAACGCTTTGTACGCTAAAGTTAGCGACCGATTTCCAAAGTAAAGGTCTCAAACGATTCCCCGATTCACGGACTACCTTCACTGACGTTCGTGACCTGGAAGGTCATGACCTTCGAGGTCAACATCAAGGTCAAACGACGGAAACCGCTCTGCACGCTAAAGTTACCGACCGATTTCCAAAGTAAAGTTCTCAAACGATTCCCAGATTCACGGACTACCTTCACCGAGGTTCGTGACCTCGAAGGTCATGACTTTCGAGGTCAACATCAAGGTCAAACGGCGGAAACCGCTCTGCACGCTTAAGTTAGCGACCGATTTCCAAAGTAAAGGTCGCAAACGATTCCCCGATTCACGGACTACCTACACTGAGGGTCGTGACCTCAAAGGTCATGACCTTCGAGGTCAACATCAAGGTCAAACGACGGAAACCGCTCTGCACGCCAAAGTTGAAGTTAGCGACCGATTTCCGAAGTAAAGGTCTCAAACGATTCCTAGATTCACGGACTACCTTCACTGAGGCTTGTGACCTCCAAGGTAATGACCTTCCAGGTCAACATCAAGGTCAAACGACGAAAACGTCCTGAGAACGCTGCGTACGCTTAAGTTAGCGACCGATTTGCAAAGTAAAGGTCTAAAACGTTTCTTCGATTCACGGACTACCTTCAACGAGGTTCGTGACCTCAAAGGTCATGACCTTCCAGGTCAACATCAAGGTCAAACGACGGAAACCTACTCGGAACGCTTTGTACGCTAAAGTTAGCGACCGATTTCCAAAGTAAAGGTCTCAAACGATTCCCCGATTCACGGACTTCCTTCACTGAGGTTCGTGACCTCCAAGGTCATGACCATCGAGGTCAACATCAAGGTCAAACGACGGAAACCGCTCTAAACGACGGAAAACTCCTCGGAACGCTTTGTACGCTAAAGTTAGCGACCGATTTCGCGTACATGTGATTTACTACGCAGCACAATACATGTAATAAAACCGGTGGTGATACTGTGGTACTGTTTAGTAAACTGGCCCTACTTAAGTCCTCGTCACCCGGTGACGCAGGACATGTGTAATACACCGTATCACGACTAAGACAAGGGGAGGTGTAGGAGATAAATATTAACACTTTAGATCAGTGGTCGGCAGGTCCTCCGGGGTCGTGCCCCCTTGTTTGGCGCCAGGCAGCGCCATTACCCCCACCTGCCAGGCCCCATTGGTGATATAACCAAGTTTAGTGAAATTCCATACCAATGACTGAAATTCCAAACCAATGAAATTCCATTTGTATCTCGGAGATTTAATGTCTGTGACCAAAGGTCAGCTCACTTTGACGCCCTCTCTCGTTATCAATGGGAGAGGTCGCAAATTCAATGGTAAAAATTGAAAGACGCCTCTTTTGGACGAGTGTCATTCCTAACACTGTGAAGCACTGAATCACAAGTAAACATGACCACTGAACCGGAAAACTACACCCGCAACCCCGCCATGTATGTCCCTGAGATCATTTCAGGTCGTGAACGGTATCATAGTTTTTCGCTAATAACTTTTGATAAAGGCATGCCAGAGCGATGAAAATACCTTAGATGTGTTTAGCTCGACGACACGGATCACCTGATGTGCAACAAGACCTTCGATGCTTCTCGACGGGAGGAGCACGATGCTGATAAAAGTGCGCTCTTGCAAGTTCTGGGTGAAACGCTATTGAAGAAAAACTAGCGGCAAACAACGTACATTTTAGCAGTTTTTGTCTCCTGAAGGCTAAATCGTTATTCATTAGGTTAAATCTGGGGGCGTCATCAGAAAGAACGGAATTGCTAATTGAGCTAATTGAGTATCGAATGCGTTTTTCCACAGCGCTCTAACTCTATCCTTTCCTGAGCTATAGGCCAGTTTGTCGAAAATTGTCAAAGGTTGACCTGGAAATTGGCGAAATTTTACGTTCGATGACCTCTGGTGAGCTGACCTTTGACTTGACCTAAAAAGTGACTGTAGTTTTCCTTCATCATTTCTTACCCTCTTTCGAACGCCGACTACGGCGTTTTGCTAGTGACCGGAGCCAAGTTAGTAAGGGGTGTTCAACCTCCACCTCCAGCAGGGCGTGGATACCCAGGAGCCCCATCGGGGCGCGGGTTAACCCCCATACGCATAGGGGTAGCGGGTATTTTTCGGGAATAGAATAGATCACGTTAAAAGGGTCGGATCACGAAAAATGTACCCTCGAGCCGATCATCTTTATCTGTCCTGAAAATGGCATGACCTTAACCCGAATAACCGTTGATTTGTGAGATCTGTCTTGAGATCATGGCAGGCCACAAAATCTCACTTCAAGAAGTTACAGCAAGAGCCGATTTACTCGGGACTTGTCATTGACCTCTGGAAGGTCACCAAATGACCAAGAACCTTTAAATTGGGTAGCAGCCGCTGCCTATCTTCATGGGCAGCACGCTCAATTTTTCTGCAAAGCTCCAGCTCAGAGGCCGAGATGCTCGGGTCAGGGTGCAATGGACAACTCCTCTCCCTTGCGTTAGTGACTGTGAAAACGCCAATAGGCGAGCGCCAGTTAATACCTACATGACAGTTACTTTTGCGCGACTGTACGGAATGGTGAGCAGCTATGTACATACATGAAAATTGGCATGCGCCAGCTAATCAGTTCATGTTTTGTTCGTTTGCCCTCGACAAATCTTTGAATCCTATGGCACAACAGTTGCGATGTCTGTCCCATCAAGGGAGCCATTAATTCTAAAAAAAAGATGAGGCTTTCTCAGAGGCCCTCATTACCCCCCGCCGAAGGGCGCCATTACCCCCAAAGGGGGCATGCCCCACCATTTGCCGACCCCTGCTTTAGATACAAGAAAATAGAACGCAAAGTTAAAACAGAAAAGACAGGTCATGACCATGGAGGTCACAAACCTCAGTGATGGTAGTCCGTGAATCTGGGAATCGTTTGAGACCTTTACTTCGGAAATCGGTCGCTAACTTTGGCGTGCAGAGCGGTTTCCGTCTTTTGACCTTGATGTTGACCTCGAAGGTCATGACCTTTGAGGTCACGAACTTCGGTGAAGGTAGTCCGTGAATCGGGGAATCGTTTGAGATCTTTACTTTGCAAATCGGTCGCTAACTTTAGCGTACACAGCGTTCCGAGGAGGTTTCCGTCGTTTGACCTTGATGTTGACCTGGAAGGTCATGACCTTTGAGGTCACGAACCTCGGTGAAGATAGTCCGTGAATCGGGGAATCGTTTGAGATCTTTACTTTGCAAATCGGTCGCTAACTTTAGCGTATACAGCGTTCCGAGGAGTTTTCCGTCGTTTAGAGCGGTTTCCGTCGTTTGACCTTGATGTTGACCTCGAAGGTCATGACCTTTGAGGTCACGAACTTCGGTGAAGGTAGTCCGTGAATCGGGGAATCGTTTGAGATCTTTACTTTGCAAATCGGTCGCTAACTTTAGCGTACACAGCGTTCCGAGGAGGTTTCCGTCGTTTGACCTTGATGTTGACCTGGAAGGTCATGACCTTTGAGGTCACGAACCTCGGTGAAGGTAGTCCTTGAATCTGGGAATCGTTTGAGACCTTTCCTTCGGAAATCGGTCGCTAACTTTAGCGTGCAGAGCGGTTTCCGTCATTTGACCTTGATGTGGACCTCGAAGGTCATGACCTTCGAGGTCACGAACCTCAGTGAAGGTAGTTCGTGAATCGGGGAATCGTTTGAGAACTTTACTTTGAAAATCGGTCGCTAACTTTAGCGTACACAGCGTTCCGAGGAGTTTCCGTCGTTTAGAGCGGTTTCCGTCGTTTGACCTTGATGTTGACCTCGAAGGTCATGACCTTGGAGGTCACGAACCTCAGTGAAGGTAGTCCGTGAATCGGGGAATCGTTTGAGACCTTTACTTTGGAAATCGATTGCTAACTTTGGCGTGCAGAGCGGTTTCCGTCGTTTGACCTTGATGTTGACCTCGAAGGTCATGACCTTCGAGGTCACGAACCTCAGTGAAGGTAGTCCGTGAATCGGGGAATCGTTTGAGAACTTTACTTTGGAAATCGATCGCTAACTTTAGCGTACACAGCGTTCCGAGGAGGTTTCCGTCGTTTAGAGCGGTTTCCGTCGTTTGACCTTGATGTTGACCTCAAAGGTCATGACCTTGGAGGTCACGAACCTCAGTGAAGGTAGTCCGTGAATCGGGAAATCGTTTGAGAACTTTACTTTGGAAATCGGTCGCTAACTTTAGCGTACACAGCGTTCCGAGAAGTTTTCCGTCGTTTAGAGCGGTTTCCGTCGTTTGACCTTGATGTTGACCGCGAAGGTCATGACCTTGGAGGTCACGAACCTCAGTGAAGGTAGTCCGTGAATCGGGGAATCGTTTGAGACCTTTACTTTGGAAATTGGTCGCTAACTTTGGCGTGCAGAGCGGTTTCCGTCGTTTGACCTTGATGTTGACCTCGAAGGTCATGACCTTTGAGGTCACGAACCTCAGTGAAGGTAGTCCGTGAATCGGGGAATCGTTTGAGACCTTTCCTTCGGAAATCGGTCGGTAACTTTAGCGTACACAGCGTTCCGAAGAATATCTCTAGATATCTAGGGAATTTCTGAACCGTGGCCATCTGGCATCTTCGTGGGACGCCAGACTTACTAATACCCTTCATAGTGCATTTCATAGGTACCTACCTAAACCTATGTGTTGTGGTGCAAAACAAGTGCATGTTTTGTCACTGCCAAACCTGAAAGCCTGTATTGGTCTTTTGAATAGTGCAGCCTTATATAACCCAAAACTTACTTTATCCTACGAGCTGTTTGGGATTCCCTTTTTTGTGTCAGTGTTGTCATGCAACTAAAAGCAAATCTATCAATTGTTGTTGGAAGACAATTCTCATGAACTTTGAAGGTGGATTTGACGTCAGAGTTGTTTCAACAATTTTTGTTTGGTATGCCACAAAGTATCTAGACCTGCTAAGCTGCTGTTATATTGCAATGTTTATAACCAGTAAAACGCCTTTTGGGCGAAGAACGAGCGAGCGAGATAGTGAGCCCTGAACGTGCGGAAGTGCGAGAGGGTACTTCCAACGGGCTTGTGCAAGGCACCCTTCTAACCGGTCGCTAGCGGTGTGCAATTTGAACGCAAGGCCAGCCGTTCCTGAGATCTGGAAGCGGCATTCTGCATGTGCGCACTTGCAAACGGGGTCCAAACTGACTTTTGCACGGCACGCTACTAACTGGTCTCCAACTGTGTACCAAATTTGAGCGCAATCGGCCCAGCCGTTCTCGAGATCTGGGAGTGGCCCCTGCACGAGCGCACGTGCAGTAGCACCCTGACCGCAACAAATGGGAATGTATTGCCTGGTGGGTGCCTACCTGTATGCCTAGTTTCAGCGAAATCGCCCCAGTAATTACCGAGTTATTGAAATGGGAACAAATTTGGCACCTCTTCTTTTTGCATTTTGCACGTGCAGTGGGGGTCGATCACATAGATCGAGAGTATCTAGACTTTGGTAGAAGGGATGCAGCTACCGTACAAAAATTACCGCAAGACAATCGCCTAAGCGGCTGCTGAGATATGGGCATCTCAAAATCACTACTTTTGCAAAACAGCTTGTTGAACACCCTTGACTTTTCACGTGGCACGTGCCACGACGGTCACTGAGATGTATCAAAAGTAGTCAATTACGGGGTAGAAGGGATGGGGCTACCCAGCAAAAAAGACCGCATGCCAATCGGTCCAGCGGTTGCTGAGATATAAGCCTCTCAAAAGCGTTACAGGCCGGGCCGGGCCGCTCATACTGAGATTTTCCCGTTACATTGAAAAGACTCGCTTCGCTCGCTGCGCTCGCTCGCTCGTAATTATTATATTGGTGATAGCTACTGGCTGACGCTGACTATACTTATCTTGAAGATAATTATCCACTGACACTGACTGTTTTCTCTGCTGTATTCCACAGTATCCAGCACTGGGTGGCCATGTTCTCGGCGAGGAGAGCTGCCAGTTTACCACTGTGAACGGAACTTGCCTTGACCTCGGTGTGCAGCCCACAGAGCAAGAAACGGCAGAGCTTCTTGAACAGGTTTGTCCGCGTGTTATGCGTGATACATGGTACACAAATACAGAAATGGCTGTTCAATGATAAGGAAGTTTTCCATTCGAGTGGTTATGCTACCTCAATGGTCATTGTTCCATTATTGCTGTTGTCAGCATTGTTAAACACTACATAGATCATATGATGTTGGATGTAGTTCTTAGACTAATGCACAGATAGTTCAAACACTTAGGAAAATAGAAGGCAAACAAGGACACTGGACGAGGTAAGTAGCGTTTTTAATTAGACTGGAATGAGTTAATATGTATTATGTACCAACTGCATGGTGCTCTATCGAGTATGCCTGTACAGCTTTCGATAAGTGCACATCACAATCACACAGCATCTCTGTGACAACCCATAAATCCAAACACAGCTCAGGCATTTCCGTGCATCCAACGATGATTGGATCACAGGATATACATTATACATGTTCATCGACAGGAGGAGCTGTCACTTTTTCGCGGTAGGCTTGGCATCTGATTTTTGTTCTGGTTTTGAGGCGGGCTTTGCCTCAGTCTTGGGCTCTGCTTTGGTCGCGGGCTTAGCATCAGGTTTTGCATCTGGTTTGGAATCAGACTTTGCCTCGGATTTGGCTGCTGGTTTAGGATCTGCTTTGGCGTCTGCCTTGGGATCCGCCTTACCAGCTGGTGCCTTTCCTTCGGGCTTCGTTTCTGATTTCGTTTCCTTCTTTTCCTCTGCCTTCGCCGCTGGTTTTGCGTCAGGCTTCGTGTCCGCCTTGGCAGCTGTTTTGGCCTCGTCCTTAGCCGCGGGTTTGGCAGCAGCCTTACCTCCATCCTTTCCCTCTGCCTTCGTGACCGGCTTAGAATCAGCCTTGGCTTCGGGCTTTTTCGCCTCGGGTTTGGTGGCCGCCTTTTCCTCCTTCTTCGCCTCTCCCATGCTACTGTGGTGCCTCTCGAGGAACTCGGCGGCCGCCTGTTGCGCCGCCTGCTTCGAAACGGCCGCCGGCGCCTTGCTCTTGGCCTTCTCGGCGGCGGCGCGCTCCAGTGCCATCTTCCTGCGCCGCTCCAGGTCCTGGCGCAGCCGGTCCAGCTCCTTCACCTTCTCGGCGCGCAGACTGTCCACCTCTGGCTCGGCGAACAGCGCGTCCTTGGCCGGGTCGTCAGGCACCCCGGTGGCCTCCGGTCGCGGCGGCCACTTGGCGCTCACGTGTGACAGAACCACGTCGTAGGGCAGCGAGCCGTCGCCGCCGCCGCCGATTGCGCGAAACGTGTCGGAGCCGGCGGCGATCTGTGGATCGGGGCACGGGGTACGGAGGGAGTCATGGTGGGGTATCGGGGATGATTGATTATTGCTGCTGTCTGCTGAGTTGATTGTGGGTTTTTGTGAGAATTTATGATGTTGAGTAGTTAAGTGTGATGTGAAGTAAACGGCCAAGTCTGTTAATCGTAGACATATATGAGTTATGACAATCATTGGCTCATGAAACAGTTTCGCCGCCCCGAGCTGATCTCTACAGTTTCCCATTTCCTTGCCGAAGTCCACTGCAGTCCGGTTGCCCTAAACCCCAAGTAATAATTCCCATTTTCTTCAGTGGCCTAAATATGTTATCATCTTTCCACTGATTCCCTTTCCATCTCGCATCCCTCTCCCTAATTGCCTTTTCTCTATCCACGCTGTCATCTTTAATGGATATTCCTCCGCTTTATCTCTAGAAGTAAAATCGAGAGATCGACTCGTCCCTCACCTGTAGCGGCTTTTGCACATCCAGCGACTGTCGCGGGTTGGCCTCCTCTCCGAAGGCCAGGTGCGTCAGCAGGTCCTTGGCGCGGCCCTGCAGAGCCACCTCCTTGCTGGAGAAGTACAGCAGCGTGGCAAAGTGCCGGTGCGCCGCCCAGCGCATCGCCTCGGCCACCACCTTCTTCTCGGTGGTGTCCATCGGCTGGAACTTGTCGTACATGCCGCCGACCAGCGCCAGAGGAATGAGCAGCGGCTTGACGGCCTTGGCGTCCGGGTGGTCGGCCGGCAGGCGCGCGTTCAGCTGGCTGTTGAGCAGGTTCCGCACCAACACGCCCGTGGTTCCGGCCTCCTTGAGCTTCTTGTCGATCAGCTCGGCGAGGTACTTGGTGATGGCCTCCACAGTGGGCAGGATCGTCTCGGGTCGGGTCAGGTCGACGACGATGACGCAGGCGGTGTCGGAGAGCCGCTCAGCGCGCACGGGCGTGTCGAGCAGCTGTAGGAAGGCGGTGCCGCCGCCCAGCTCCCAGATCTGACACACGTCGCGGCCTATACCGCGGCCGGCGCGGCGCGCGTACGTGTAGTCGAGCCCGAGCGTGCGCCGCGCGGCCTCCTCAGAGCCCAGCAGCTGCCCGACCAGCGTCGTCTTTCCCGACTGCTTGCCGCCGAGAACGATGAGCGTCGTCTCGCGCTGGCCCTCGTCCGGGTCGCTGAGCTCGGTGCTGACCTGTTTCAGTTTAACGGCCAGGTCCCAGACGTTGTCGGCCTCCAGAGTGGATGCAATATCCACAGTCGAGATGAGCCGACTCGTCTTTTGTCCCAGAAGACTCTGCGAAACTGACGAGCCCCGGCCCTTGGCGCGGATCGAGGCGCGCCGGGCCTTCTGCATGGCTGACTTGACAAGGCTGTCGGAGCCGGGGTCCGTGCTGCTCACGGCAATGCTCGGTTTCCGCGGCTTCTGCTCCGAGGAAGACGTCTTGGCTGCGGAGGGCGACTTGATGGCCTGCTTGCTGCCACTCTTCCCTGGCTCACTGGTCTTTTCGGCGGGCTTTGCAGTGTCGCTTTTCTGCTTTGGGTCCTGTTTGGCGCCGTCTTTATTTTTATCTTCTCCCTCCTTGGCGGCACTGCTACTGCTGGGTTTGTCTTTTGCAGAAGCTTGGTTGTCTCTGCCTTTTGATGGTTCGGGTTTTGCATTGCTGGTGTCTTTAGCTGGCTCAGGCTTCTTTTCCTTGGCATTGTCGCCTTCTTTTTCCTTATCGCTTGAGGACTTCTCTGGCGTCTTTTCCTTCGTTTCCTCCTCTGGCATGTTGTATTGGAATGCGTTACAGTGGAACTTTATTCACCCATACAATTGAGCCCACGGATTTAGGTCCGTTTAGTATATTCAGCGTGTTACAAAATGGGAGGTAACTCTTCTCGGTGTTTTCAGTCTTTCTTCTTTCAGCAATTATACATTGGTGCTTATTTCATGTCAAATGAAAAACCGGTTTGATGAGAGACCTATCTTTCGTGTTGCAATTTAAGCATGCACGTTTTTTTTAGCAGGGTGTGCGCCAAAATGTGTCGATTTTCTTACCATACTGAAATATTTTCGTCCCAAAGGTATTGAAGCGTGCCTAGCAACACGGTGTACTTTCGTCTCGGGTCCTGGCAACCGTCGCATGTAGAGATTCTGTTGCAGTTGACCTTCTCTTATTGAGAAAGCTACGGAGATATAATTCCACCCCGGTGGTTTGCTGCTCATATGTCCCTTTGACTAGCTGCTCTATGATTCACCAGACGCAAGATGTAGGCAGAAGACCTAGCCGGCGATGAAAAAGCACCATTTAGCGTGCGTTCGACATCCGAATAATCAGGGATAATTTTCCGGGATCACCGGGATCATTCGGTGTTTTAAGGTGACAACGTGTACAACGGACATGACAACGAGTCAAATAGCCATGAGTGAGGCAAAAGCTGTCTAAAATGTGACTAATTACATCGTTGGTCCCTGCAATGCCAAATTCTTACCGCCTACCGGTGATCCCGGATAATAATCCCTCATTTTCCGGACGTCGAACGCACGCTTAGATGTTTATTCCTTTTGGAATTTGATGCTAACCTCGTAACTGTAGGAGACTGATACAGTTCACTTTATGTTGTGAATGGAAGTTTAATGATTAGTTAGTATGGTATTCTGCACTGTATCTTTTTTTTATTTAGTCGGACCTCTCTCCAACGGGCTCTTGTCCCAATTATAGGAGAGAGCACCTGCTCCTCCCGCCGTCCTATTCCCCACCCCCCAGGGCCAGGCTACGGCTGAAGTGGGAGCCTACCCCACACCTGGTGACGCAGCCGGGGACGACGCCCGCGGAACGGGCGGAACCGGGAATCGAACCCGAAACCCGGCACCGCCCGCACCGCGGGTCGACGCCTTAACCGACTGCGCCACCAGGGCCGCAAAAATAAAGTCAAGCGATATACCTACTAATGCGTTTCAGACCCTGTGGAACAGCCCTTTTCGGCTATTTGTCGTTGTATATGCGTTTGATTTTAACCAAACTTTGGCATTGGTAGTTTGAGATCCCTACCTAATTTTTATCAATATGGTCTATTAATGAAAAATGAAAAATAAAGGCACTTGTCATTGACTGATAATGTTAAGGTCGTCAGAGCCCTGCTTAGAGGCTGACACAGGCTGGACGCTGTCTCCCCTCTGATTGGTCGAGACGCACTAGCACACTGCGGCTTGGCTCCGCCCACTTGCGGTCCAGCCTCGGGTCATGTCGGCGGCAGTCGCAGTCCGGCCGGCCGGCGTGCGGGCCGCGCACGCAGCGCAGCGGAGTGGAGCACTTGTTTGCATGTCATGAACTATTAATAAAGCCCTTGTTACACTGCCGAATTTTGGTACACGAATGTGCACGAATATGCAAGTCATCATATGTCGCGGACCAATTCGGGATCTTTCTTCCACGGTCTTGGCATTTCGGAGACCAGTCGGTGTCCACCGCGCGACTTATACGGTTCGTCACGACCGCCACGAATATTTCATGAAAAATGAAAATTTTGTGGCCGTTCGCCGAACTTATAATAAACGAACATGATCGCCAAACAGTCGCCGAGTCGCCGCCGACATTGACATGTCGCTGCGTGCGTCGACTTGTTGCCAAGATATCGCCGACTATTCGAAACAGATTCGCCATTCATTCGCGATAGTCGCCGAATCATGGATCAGCTTCGACCCGCGCACGGTTAAGGGGGCCCCCCACCCGTTTTCTGCAAATCAGGCTCTGTCGGCGAACTGTTCGCCTCTGTCGGTGAACTGTTCACCGATTTCGTACACGACGTGGTTCGGCGACAGGGCCGTGGCCAAAATTCGGCAGTGTAACACGGCCTTTAGTTGTTCTACGACAAATAAGGACGGAGGAAGAAAGAGAAAGGAAAAGGAGACAAAGTGACAATGAGACGAACGGTAAACGTTGGCTAGTGGACAACAAACAATATGCATATAGCCGCTAGAGCAGAGACAGGAGACGAAGACGATAGACCAGAGACAAGTGACGAAGATAGAGATTAGGCTATAGACGAGAGACAATATACTATGAACGTATAGACGAGAGACTGACAAGGGGGAGTGAAGGACGGGAGATTATGAACTCTCGATATTGCATATCTACATTTTCAGATTGAGTCATCCTATATTTTTCCCTGTTTTATTGTTTTTCGGGCCTAAGATCTATCAACAACATTCTGAAAGCATTGTGGAAATGTCATAGAAAGATTTACCTATTATTTTCACCCCCCCAAAAAAAAAATATTCTTTTAAACAAAAAAAAAAACGAAATACCTACAAGTATCTATGTGGATATCTTCAATTAAATAAGGCCGTTGAATACAAAGACAGTCCGGTGAATTCTGTCCCGTTACTCCTTAAATGCACAATAGCCTGTAGGAAAACGGCTGCGGAGAGGCTCGCTATAAATTATTGAAAATAAGATTATTTTAAGTCTGCATAGGGAATAACATTCTGTAGCTAGGAGTGCTTATTGTTTTATACACACACCGTCGCGATCTGCGTTGAATTCTTCATCCTTATTCTCTCCGCGCGAGATACATTTACAATATTCACGCAATGATGCCTGCGTTAGCGTGTGTCTCGTTCCAGTCCGTCAGAGCTCCGCACCGCTCTGACCCCGAGCGGCGAATGACCGGTCCCGGTGTCGCGGCACAGTGGGCGGAGCTTAGCTGCGGCGCAACAGCTGACGCTGCAACGCCATGCTAGCCTCTACCACGGTGCAGAGTTTTCCGATCCATTTTTACCATTACAAGTCAACGACAAGTGCCTTTCATTTTGACATTTTGTTAAAAGACCAAATTAGTAAAAATTAGGTAGGCCCTTGAAACACATTGTGTCAAAGTTTGGTTGAAATCAAGCGTATAGGTAACGAGAAAGGGCCAAAAAGGACTGTTCCAGAGGGTCTGAAATGCTTAGTAGATACCTACCCTGAATAAAACGCATGCAGAATTGCAGAATCAGTGGCGGATCCAGGGGGGGGGGGCAAAATGGGCATTTGCCCCCCCCCCCAAACGGCATGATTTTAACATTACGCCTATGGACGATGCATGGAAAGAATCGATAAATTTTTATGGTTTGCCCCCCCCCCCCCAAACCTCTGAGCTGGATCCGCCTCTGTGCAGAATTACATTGATGCAGGATTACATTGCGCAATGTGCCATAGACTTTGTCAGTGCTGAGATAGGCGTTTTGACCCCTCTAAGTTGCAGACAGCGTCACACCCATATTCATATCTGACTTGATGCCATTCCATCACAGGCTATGCGGGGCGCCGATGCGTCGACGGCCGCCAGGATGGCGTCGGTAGTTCACGGCCCGCCGCCAGATGTCGGGCCGGTCGCCGCCGAGGCCTGCCGCCGTCTGGAGGGGACCTCACTGCCGCTGGAGGACCTCGCTGTGTGGATCGACCCGATCGGTAGGTGAAGGGGGCACTGACACGGATAAGTGGCACTATGACAGAGCTTGGTGATATTCTGACACGGAATAGTAACATTGGCACGGAATGGAGCTCCCCAATCCCTCTGCTCCATCCTCGGGACAGCCAAATCCTCCTCCACGCCTCTAACCCTCTGGGCCGGGCTGGACGGTCACATTCATTGGACGTGAGTAGCTCCTCAGGGGAATGCTCACGACTTGCGGTGGGCCGACCGTTTGTGGTGCTGATGGTTCGCCTGTCCTGTCCATGTGACGGGCTCAGCCCCGTCGGCGCACCAGGGTGGTCGCCAAGTCCAATGTCTCCCCCTGATTCCTATCATCATTTCGGCTCTAGAAAGTCTCGTTAAGGTGGCCGTCCACTGGCTAGGCACGCATCTTTACGCGCTGAATTTAACATTGGAGTCTATGGGCTGCGCGACGACTGCGGTTCAACGCCGAACGCGCGATGAAGCGCAGTCAGCTGATTATTTGTCGGCAGGTCGGCGCCAAGTTACGCGCTGACGAATTGAAATACTTCAACTTTTAAGCGCGCTAGGCGCTGAACGATTGCGCGCTGAATACGCGCTTTACTAGTGGGCGGCCGCCTTTAGACTGAAAGCTCTTAAATCCTACAAAACAAAACAAAATTAAATGGTGATTTTTTGACACGATGGCAGTAGCACGGCATTGTGACCTTTGACACAGAACGATGACACGAATAAGCTCGGAAAGGTAACACCCTCCCCATCCCCCATCCCGACAGACTGTACCTCGGAGTATGTGCGCGGCGCGCCCGCCTATACGGATGACGTCACCCGTCTAGTGACGTCAGGCCTGCCGGCCGTTACCGTCCTGGTGGGCGTGTTCCGACGCTCGTCCGGCCGGCCGGTGATGGGAGTGGTCACTCAGCCGTTCGGAAACCAGAACAGTGACGGGTGAGTTGTGATATTTGCTTGGGAGCGTGTGGAAGCACAGGGTATTTGAGTGATGAATACACATGATAGAGGTGATTACATGTGCAGATTGAGTGAGCGTGTTTGGTGAGGTGATGATGGTGAGTTTAGGTGAGTGACTGGTGAGACTTTTAACTGCCCTCATCCCACCCCTGCTCACTCGCCGCTCCCTGCCCCCAGGACGTGGAGCTCCGCCCAGTACTGGGGCGTCTGTCACGGTGACCTGCGCCTCTCCAACCTGCCCCCGTCGTCACCCGCCGCTGCCCCGTCCTCCGTGGTGATGACGTCACGTTCAGAGCGTGATGACGTCATCAGTTCTCTGCGCTCTGCCGGGCTGCAGCCGATGGCGGCCTCCGGGGCCGGATACAAACTGCTCCAGGTACATACGTAACTGGGTGGATGTGCTTTTGTGTTTGTGTTTGTATTTGTATTGATCTGCTATACTCACCAAGTTCACCAATCACCAATCAACACTCGCCAGTCTACAGTCATCTCAAACGTGTTTCTTGTCATGCATGATTCGGTACCACTTTGCTGCATCTCCTCCGAAGTCGTGTTTTATGTGGGTTGGATACGCCGTAGATGAAGGGAAGCCCATTGTGATAACGACAAGATTATAGTGGATCAACAATATAAGCGCCAAAGTCAATGAAACGACTTATTTTGAACCTGATTGAATCGACCACATTTGGTCATCATGAGCAATTGATTGGTTGAACTTATTAGTAAAGTAATCTTAGTTGAATTGATTGACATGTGCAAAATCTCCTGACTGCTGCTCAAAGCTTCCCTTTTCTTCACCCGCCTGCCCTCTGTCGCTGTTTCAGGTAGCGCTAGGCTCGGCGCTCGGTTTTGTGGTGTCGCTGTCGTCGACTTTTCTCTGGGACACCTGCGCCCCTGACGCGCTCCTGCAGGCTGTCGGCGGCTCGCTGGTGTTCAAGGACGGTAAAACTATCAGGTGAGGGGGCCGAACCATTTTCAGCTGCTGGTACAAATGATTAGATTGACGAGTACGCAGTCGTCCGTCATTTAGGCCATGGGCATTTTCGTTTTGTACGTAAGGAGCAATTGGATAAAGTTGCGTGGCGGTCACTTGTGTCTCAGAGCATCTTGTTGACATATCGCCACGAGCGGCCAAAAAGTGATATCCAGGCATCTCTTAAATGCTGGACCACTGATCTCCGTTGCCAGTGTTCCTTTAACTATGTTTGATCGTTCTTATGCTGGCCTTTTTCACTCACGACACGTTGTTTTGAATAAGAAGACATCTTTCTCATTTGTCGGACATAATGACTCCCCTCCTCAGGCGTTGCCAGCTATGAACCCCTCCCTCTTTTCCCTCACAATTACCCTTCCTCTTCTCCTCCAGGTTTATTGTAGGGTTTACCTCCCTTCACCCCTCTGCCATGTTTAACCTCCCCCTGTTTTTTTCCCCAGGTATGACCGAACGGTGGCCGACAGCCGAAACTCCGGCTGTCTGCTGGCTGCCCGTGACGAGGAGTCCCTGAAGCGTCTGACCGTCGCCCTGGCGACCTGTCCTGACGTGCTATAAGGCGGGCCCGCACTGCGGTTAGAAGGGGCGGGGATCAGTGGGGTGGCAGACGGGGCAGGGGGGGGGGGTAGGTATCGTCTAGTGGTGTTTTTGTGTAATGTGAACCGAGTACTGAGATGTCTTGCATTTCCTAGATCCAGTATATGGTCAATTGAGATCGTTTGCTGGCTATTTAATTATTAAGTTCCTGCCTAGTCAATATAACATGGAGTGAATGACATTTATCGGCAAGGCAGTTTATCGTGATGCAATTATCACCAGTATTAGAGGCTCAGTGCTTCTCCCAAAGAGTATATAATGGCCGTAGAGTCTATGACATTCAGGTTTGTTAATGACCTATCGTGATAATCTAAGTTTACTCCTTATTTTGGTAACTTTTGAATGAACCATACTATATCAATCTAATCGGCCTGGTGTTTGCTTATGATTTTACTGTAGGCTGACTTTTTAAGCACTTAATACTGATGTTAGAACTAGACGAAGACCGTAGCGTCAATGCCAATGGAGTCGTGGGCTTTGATCAACTAGTTCAAGGGCGTGGTATCTGGCCTTTATGAATTTAATTGTGAATGATATAGATTCAAATGAGATTTTACCCTTTCGTGGTGTTCATATGTTGTACCGCACCTAATATACCATATTATGATAGCTTATTACTCGGTATTTAGCTGTTCTTTTGTTTGCTTAGAGGCGTGATAGCACTAAGGTGTTGTGTTGTATTGGATGGGCTCGGTCTCGGCATTGTCTTTTCAAATGTTTTCGATCATAGCCGAAAGCGATGTCGAAAGGGATGATCGTCAACTTAGTTTTGATACATATTTCCATTTTGTGTTTTATATTAGCAATCTTTCCAAGCTTTATTCATTGCTTTAGGTTAGAATGTATTGTATTTTCGGTACGTAATTTTTTGTATTCCAATGCTCCGGGAATGTGCATGGATCTTAGTATTGGATGTGTGATCTCATTGGATTCCAAACAAGCAGCAAACGAAAATTTTATCTAATTGGATTTCACGCCATGGTTTCGGCGAATTCTTGTCAGAATGTATTATCGCAGCTGGTCTCTTGACAAAAGCATAAACATTTTGTAAACATGTGAGGGACCCTTTTGGACCATAGAATCTCAGGTCGACATATAATACATCAAAATGACGCATTTTTGCCAACCCCACATATTATGTTCCCTCGTGAATTTCCGACAAATTTGATAGAAAATTTGATAGAAACTTTTGAAAAGGGTACAGATAATCGCTTTTTCTCAAGTTTGTCTTTCTTGGCAGATCAAGCAATGCCACAACAAGCTTACGAGCACACATATTTGATCAGAATCGGATGATTGGACACTTTTGAAAGGGATCTTTCATGCTTCCCTGAAGTTACTGATGTGGAATTTGAAAAAAAAAATGCATCAAAATGTGTCAAAAAAAGCCGGTCCCGTAGCTCAGTTGCTAGAGCGTTGGACTCCGCGTGGTGAGAGCACGCGTTCCCGGTTATAACAGTCTGGGTTCGAAGCGCGACGGGCGCTTGACATTTATGGGCCTCCTGACGGTATGGTTGCGGTTGGTGGCAGGCCTTAGCCAGGCGAAGTCAGTGAGGGGACCGGCCGTGCGCGGCTATGTGCGCACGTTAAACTTTGGACTCTAAATTCTGCCATAGAGCTGGAATTGCGCGATCGGAGGATAGAGGGCAGGGTCACCGAAACAAGCTTCGCTCAGCGGTGGCTCTGTCCTTGCGAATCCTTCCCATCAAAAGGTTCGGACTAAATTTATTTTTAAAAAAATCATATGTCTTTTCCATTCATGCAAATCGTGCACATTTCTGGTCTATCTCAACATTTCTTTGGCATTTCCTTGGTACCGTTTCCTCAATATTATCGCTACCGGCATTCGGAGCTGGTTTTACATGTTCCTGGCTCGATTATTGCTGCAGATGGAAACTGCCGTCATTCGCGAGCTGATGTTTTCCTGTTGCCATAACAACGGCTGAGTGTTGCCCTGGTTTCCACTCCTTGACAGCGTAGGATCACGTTACCGTGTTAATAAGATCGTTTGCTATTTGAGATGTGTAGAATGCAATATCAGCTTTTGTGCTGGTTAGGCTGATCTGCTCCATCATTTCGGCCATGAATCAAAGTCGTAGAATGTGAGGCGATTGCTCGATGGTAGTTAGCGTTATGTTCCTGCTTCTTTATGAGTGTGATCACTTTCATATTTGTTGATAAGTTGTCTGCTGCTTTTGATTTAGGCCTTCATCTTAGGGTTGATTGTCGTCATGTATGTTTGTTTTCCTGTGTGAAGTTTAGGTGTTGTGTTCGGTGGGCTTTTCGTCAATGTTAGGTCGTCCTTATGAAAAAGATAGGTTATATGCAATGAATACAATGAGCTTATTTACATATCCTGCTTTCGTTTGAAACGCCGCCTACTTGAATTCCTCTTGAGAGATATACGGACAATATCGGTGCGATTGGTTGGTTCGACTTCTGTCTGCCACCTTTGATGTGTATGTGTAAGGCTGAACCAGTCAGCGGTGTCAGGATGTCGAACTCGAGACAGGGAGATGTCAGACAGTGTCAGTCAGCGGTGTCAGAATGTCAGAATGTCAGCCAGTGGTGTCAGACTGAGTCAGGGCGAAGGTAACTGTCAACTCAGCCGCGGACTGAAACGTCTCGGCTGTCGTTCTCAAGTAAGATCTATTTGCCTTAGCGCTCCTCGCTCTCACTCTTCCTGTCCCCCTCTCTCCCTTTCTTATTCGGGCTCCATTATTAGGCTGCTACGTGCAATATCTTCTTTTTATGTACTTTTCGGACTGCCTGGCATGGACTTTGATTGAATTACTGGCATTTTGCCTGATTGGCCTGAGTAAACGTTTCTTATATAATGCACATGTCTTATTCAAATATGATTAAAATTGGCCAGGCATACGTGTAGTCGCTACTTGCTGCTATTCGCATATTACATATATATTGCATTGGACATAGTGCATGCTATATTGACATTGCATTGGGTATCGAGGGCATTGACGGGCATTGATGCTAGGCGTTTACCTACATCTGCGGTAATATTGTCAAGTTCGGTTGAAGACGATATTATTTTTATTGTTCAGTTGATAAATAATTACGTCACTGTCTTCTTCTTGTACGACACTTAACCAACTACAAAGACAATCCACTTCTTTCCTCGAACCCCAAACCCGAAATTTATTAAATTGATATCAATTTTTCCTGTCCCCCTCCAGACATCCTCGACACTTCTCCCTCCCCGTTCATGAGACGCTGTTCTGTGATGCACACCAGCCCCCTCGCCGACATTTCACGAGCTCAGATACTTGACACCTTCCTGGAAAATCTGAAACACAATGTTGGCCACCTGCAGCAGATTTTTACCTATCGGGACGCCGATGTCCTCATGTACCGTGGTGCGCGCCATGCTGAGCGTCTGCTCGGCAGTACCCTGAGCGGCGGCGAACTCGAACACAATCGAGTCCAGCGCCTGCACCGTGATGTTGGAGAACACGACGTTCCCCTGCGTCAGCGCCATCCGGCCCACCATCGTGATGTTGGTAGAGTGACTGCTCCGCTCGACTGACTTGCGTTTTCCGCCGCCGATTTTCGGCGTGCCCTCCATCTTGGAGAAGAGGACCTTGAAGCGGAGGTTGCCGCTGCTGATGGAGACGACCAGCAGCTGCATCCCGGCGAGGGTGGTGGCCGTGGTCGGCGGGATCACGGCGCCCAGCTCAAGCCGCTCCATCTCACTGTTGATGATGCTGGTCATGGTGTTGAACGTGGAGGTGATGTTCTTGTTCTTGCTGAAGAGCGGGAACAGCAGGTCGATGTTGTGCTGCAGGCAGCGCTGGTACTGGATGTACTTGTCGTTTGGAGACGGCAGACGTTTTAGGTGACATTGCTTGGGACGGAGCGATGGTGGTGGCTTAGGTTCTCCTGTATAAGACAAAAGAAAAACGTGAGACACTTGAAGTCGGCCTGGAGGGAAACGGCATAGAACCAAGGATCCATCGTTAAATGAGATTCGACAAATGTCACAAAAAGATATAGGCAATGAGCTATAAAAGATATTCTTCCCGCTTTTCTCCCGAGCCTCAGTTATCCCCAATTAGGCCTAGAGAATTGAACGAAATAAACTACACAGAGGACAAGGATTGTATTCAGTGAGCACTGAGCTTGCGAAAACATCGAGACTCTGCCACTGTTCAATTGCGACTGCTCCCCCTCCCCCCCCCCCCGGCTCGGAGATATTTACATACATAACATTCATGTCGTATTAGATAGGGACGGTTTCTGGCCTCACACTAATGGAAAGCTTCGAGGCATAATATCCAGTCATTTCACGATTCACTGAAACACTGAGCTGCGGTGTCTCACCTTTTCCGTTTTGTCTGGCCGCCGCCGTGCCGGCCGTGTGTAGTGCCAGGAGAGTCAGGAGCGCCAGCGGCGCCGCTGCCGCAGGGAGCCGACCCATCTCGCTGGGAGTCGGCGCGACTGGTCCCGGCGCCCCGCGGCCCCGGCTCTGACACATACGTGACGGCTAAATGGGCGGTACGACCGGCCGACGTGTCAGCCTGACGGCCACCGTTCGGCTGTGCGTGAGACGACGTCGGCCCGACGAGGGTGACCTCCGCGATACCCCTCCCCCGACCCAAACCCTCCCCCGCTGACCCCCGCCCCTTCACTGCCCAACGGCCGGTATCCAACCACCTGGCACCCCTGGTACACAGAAGAGTGAGGTGGAACATGTGTGTAACTACTTCTTGCACGAAATAGGGGGGGGGGGAAGTCATGTGAAGCCAAGTGAGCCTGTGAGGTGATTCAGTCAATGGTCGCCTCTGGTGGAGCGGACTGATTCAGTCAATGGTCGCCTCTGGTGGAGCGGACTGGACTCTCACTCAGGACTTTTCGCCGTGTGGTTGATAGTATGTATAAGTTAGGTCTATGCATTTTCAGATTGATTTCCTGTTTAAGGCGGACTAGTGATGATTATTTTGCACTTTGCAGGGAACGGCGCTCAGGTTTTTGAGTTTCTTGACAAGCTGATTCTCTTCCACCGAGGCGTCGCACACTGGGCCGGGGGTCCGGAAAAGTGCTAGAAATTATTTGTGATTGAGTTGTTGATCTCAGTGACAAGCAAACATGCTAAAAACGAAGTGGGGCTGCTTAACCCTCGCCGGACCTATTGTCGGACCCCCCACCCCCTCAGCCGGCCGAGGGGGGAGGGTTGGTACGACCCCTTTTTGCCGTTTCGCCCCTAATGGAGCTAGAGCCTCGCGGAAAAAAACAAGCGTGTGCGCCGTTTCAAGGCGGAACGATTGATATCCGATTTTAAGGTCCCAGGTCAACCGGTAACCTCTGAGGTGAAGTCAAAAAGCCCAAGGTAGGGTTCGGTTTTTGGCAAATAATTTCGCAAAAAGTGGCCGCAGAGCAGCGATTTTGGCACCATCGTGTTCGCCTGGCTCAGGCGCGTCGAATGGTATACTTTTTGTTCGGGTGAGGTCAACTTAAGGTATTGACCTCGAGTCAAGGTCAGTTCAGAGCCCATCAGGCCACGAACTTAATCGAAGGAGGTCGTATCGCATATCATTCGATTCGGGAGGTCTTCCCGAGTCCATTGGTGGCTTTCCCGAGTCGCTGGCTCAATTTGATCATGAGTTATTGACGAGAAACTCCTATGACCGGTGTGACGTCATAAATGACGTCACGGAAGGTCAAAAATGCAAAAGTAAAGCATCGGATCTTGCAAGGAGTGCACGAAATCACGATTCCGTGTGCTTGAGATAGTTTGAAATCATTCCATGCGCAAAAACAACAGTTTCCTTATTTCCCCTTTCACTTTTAATGGTGAGGTCACGTGACCTCGAAGAGTAGCAGGCATTAGCAAAAATTGCGAGTAGGGCATGACAGAAAGATGATTGGTGGTTTGTATGGCATGGCCATTTTTAACGGCTCGAAATAACATTTCTCAAAAAGTCTAGCTAAAGAGCAAGTTGTTGTTGATTATCACTGACTTGTGTTTAGGGGTTAATAATGACTGAATTTTTGAGTTTGGCCCAGAAATGTTGACAGCATTGTGTGCGTTGATCAATTCTGAGCTCAGGGACATGTATTTCATTTAGATTATAAGCGTTTGTTTTTCACAACTTCCAGCGTTTTAAAGAGCGCCGGGCCTTCAGTAGAGCGGCGAGGTGACAATTGCCCCTACATCATGTGGTTTACTGGCGCATATCTCGAAAAGTAGCAGGGAAAAGCAGCAAAGCACCTATATGGAACAAAAGATGAGTAATCAGAGGCTAGTATGAAATGTTCATTTTTAGCTGCTCGAAATAACGTTTTTATAAAAGTCTAATTAAAAAATTGGATATGATTTTAAATTACGTCTTGCAGCTGCTTGCAAACAGCTAGCTTATCTTGCAGAAAAGCGATGCAATATGTCAGAATGATGTTGGCACAGTGAACAACAGTGCCCTGAACTAGTCTGACAGGAAATTTCGTTCAAAACGACGATTGGTCAACTAATAAATTACCACTAAAGTTCATCATTAAAATCGGTAAATGTGGTGGCCTATAGAGAGTCTAAATTGTTTTGTGTTTGGTGACAACTGACGACCTCAATTTTGACCTTAGGGCAAAACTAGCATCGGAATCGTATTCTTCGATCAATTTGGGATTAAATGATACCTATTTTGTTCATATTGCGGACAGTCAGTTTGGGGGAATTTCTAGCGCTTTTTCAGGCTGCCGGCCTACAGTGCGTCGTGAGCTGGCGTCGAGTGGGTTGGTAGGCTACCCGCATATCACAGGTGTAATGCGGCACAGTCTACCATCCCAGGCATCCAGAGATTCGCTCCAAGCCGGCGTTCCAGGCCGCTACGGGATCTCTCTCTCTCTCTCTCTCTCTCTCTCTCTCTCTCTCTCTCTCTCTCTCTCTCTCTCTCTCTCTCTCTCTCTCTCTCTCTCTCTCTCTCTCTCTCTCTCTCTCTCTCTCTCTCTCTCTCTCTCTCTCTCTCTCTCTCTCTCTCTCTCTCTCTCTCTCACTCACTCACTCACTCACTCACTCACTCACTCACTCACTCACTCACTCACTCTCTCTCTCTCTCTCCCTCTCTCCCTCTCTCCCTCTCTCCCTCCCTCCCTCCCTCTCTCTCTCTCTCTCTCTCTCTCTCTCTCTCTCTCTCTCTCTCTCTCTCTCTCTCTCTCTCTCCCTCCCTCCCTCCCTCCCTCTCTCTCTCTCTCTCTCTCTCTCTCTCTCTCTCTCTCTCTCTCTCTTTCTTTCCCTCTCCCTAGCTTTTCTGATCCCTCTCCCTGTCTATCTCCTTCTGAATCCATGACCGGTTTCCACCGGCGGTATATTGAGCAAACAGTGAACATTCTTTATCTATTTATCTATCGTTCTGTCTATCTCTACCTTAACCCTATTCCTGGCGGGCTCCGCCGGGACAAGAAACTGGCGGGGGGGCCGATTCGGCCCCCCCCCCTGAGATCTCGAGAACGAAGCAAGATAGCGACAAGCGGTAAACGGCATCGGATACGCATGGACAAGGTCTACAATTTTTACAAAGGTCATTTTCAGGTCAGGTCAAAGATGACGTCACAGGGGTCGAAAAAGTCAAAATGGCGGCGCTAGATATGGAGAGAGTTTTTTCTCGAATAACTTTCGAATTAGTCAAGATAGGAACAAACTAAGGGCATCATCGTGATCCTCTCGTCAATCCGCATCGAATGATATATATGTTGACCTCGAAAGGTCAAGGTCAAAGGTTGACCTCAGGTCACGTGACCTCGAGGTCATCATGTATATCATTCGATGCGTCTTGACAAGCTGAACACAATGAGACCATCCACGCGTCTGTATCTTGTTCCTGTACGGAGTTATTGGCCAAAAACCTTTGGTGACCTTTGATGACGTCACATGACCTCACAGCTGCCCAACAGCAAAACAGACCTCAAGGTAGTGAAGGTTGATCGTATATGAAGTCATGTATGGTATATGGGGCCATTCCGACCCGTTTTAGTGGTAAAAACAGGGAGTTGATTTTTCCCCCATTGACTTATAATGGGGAGGTCGCGAAACTGACCTGACCTTAGGTCACCGATATCAAAATTCCGAGATATACAAATTGCACATACTGGTACCCTAACTAAAGCCTGAAGAGAAGAAATTGATCGGTCAAAAACTCTAGCTCTGGCGTGATTGCAAACTTTTCTGAGGTAGGGTCACCAAACCGCCTCTGGTGACCTGACCTGAGGTCAGATCAACTCAAAATTTTCAGACATGTTGCGTAGAAGCCTTTTAGGAAAAGTCAGAAAATTTGAGCTTCCTAGCTCAACGCGTTTGGGAGAAATAACCAAAAAACCTCAGGGGGGGGGGGGCTCCTGAGGCCCCCCCCCTCCCGCCAGGAATAGGGTTAAATTATCAGTTCCTCTCCTCTCGTCCCTCCTCTTCTCTGTCGCTCTGCGCCCGGTCTGAGCACACATCTCTCTGTCACCATGTGTGACGACAATTCACGACCGGCGATCAATGTTGCCGGGCTGTTGTCATGCCAACCAGGGAAGAGAGGCGCTTCCGTAGAGGAAACTCATCTAACACCTCTAGGGATGCGAATAGTTTAGTTTCCTGGTAGTTACCTGCTTCGGGCAGGAGCTAATTAACATCAAACATAGTTCATTCAAACAGGCAAGAAACTCAGTTGAAAACAAGCTTGTAATACCACTTATGCTAATGAAGAGAAACGTGCAAAAGGATTAGTTTGGACGGTACACTTCCTTGCGCCAGACTTTCTAGCGTTCTGTAGTGAATTTCGCGTCGTTTTCTCAACGGCATTATTTGGCTGCATGCTTCGCTGTTTCTAATAGGCTTAGCTACGGCGTTTCCTCATTGCACCGACAAAAATAGTGGAGGCTATTTTCAATAACTTATTGCCGTTGCTCCGTTGCTTTTGGCATATATGCTTGGAAACACGAGGAAAAGAGTCTACCTTTCGGTCTGCCACCCTTTGCCAGCTACGTGCTCTTGCAGAGGAGATTGGAACATGACTCTTCTTGGACCATGATTGGAGCTATTTGTAGTTACAGCATTCCAAAAACGCTGACCTGCCCGGAAATGTAGTTGAACTGTACGCAGTGGATGGAAATCCAAAGGCTCTAACGGCCGTGGCCTAGCGGCAGGCGTCATGTCAGTGGCAGCTCGACAGTATCGACCGGCCGTCCAGTGCGCGTCTGCTCAGCAGCGCCCAGACCTGCTGAGCTCCCAGTTCCACCGTTATCTGCCTGAGGAGTCCTTGTGCACCTCCTCGGTACTAACTACCTACATATCAGTTTACACATCTCTGCTAAGTTCCCAGTTTCGTAGCTGATCGTGGGTGTCCCTTTTTTTGGGTTCTCGGCAGTTCTCCTTTTTATCGAGCTCCTCTTACCGCCATTATCCGCCTAGGCACGCCATGTGAAGAGAGACAAGAATCGCTAAAGGGAATACCAATAATCTCCTGATGGGATCAGATAT